AATCTTACGATTTGATTGGCTGAACAGCATGTGACAATACATGAACTTCGTGTAACATTGGACGGTTCCCCCTGTTGTTATGACCACCTTGGTCATATAAAGTTGGATATGACCTAAAATAGCCAACACTGAATTTCGGAACTATACGGTAATTTATTTTTTCTACTTCGGCAAATCAGTTTTCACTAATGTTAAATAATTTAAAAATGTTTATTAATACACAATCTTTTATCGCTGTTAATGGACAAGTTGTTAATTTTCAACAAAATTATTTCGGAAAAGTTAGGTTAGTACAACAAAGAAAATTAACCAATGAAAGCGCGAAACGAAAATAAACAACAAAATATATTTATATATAGTACATTGAAATTTATTCCTTTTATACTATCTTTAGCAACTAGAGTTATAACTCAAAACTCACTTCATTATTTTTTTAGCCTATCTAGTCATTGTGATGCACTGTTTGAATAATCATGGCGGGCTAGAATTATGATGGCTAATTTTTTGAGAAAACTTTTACACCGTCTTGCGGTCCTATAAAAAATATATATACCCAACTTTCCCAAGATGATTATTTCAAAAATGCTCATTTTTCCAGAACCGTATATAAATTTCTAGTTATTTATATGATCTTGATAATTTCCAGATAAAAATTAAATCTCGGTAATATTTATTAAGACTATGAGCCGAATATTATCAAGATTTAATTTTTGCCCGGAGATCAAGACTTTACGGAAGTAACCAGGAATTATATATGTTTTGTTCGGAGCAATGTGCGTTTTCTGAAATGACGATTTTGGTAAAGTCGAGGTATATTTTTAAAATTTTTTTTTATAGGGCTGGTGGAGGACTGGTTCGATGGATGTATCAAAATAAGAGTCTAAAACTAATAAAGTTATTTGTAGTAAAGAAATTTTTTTTTTTTTTTTTTACTATATAGCATTTAATAAAAGACTAAGCCATATTTTAAAAAAAAAGAAGGATTAGAATTGAACTAGTTAAAGTTCGGTTTGAACTAATTTTAAACTTATTCTGGACCAAGTTTAATCCTTAATATCAGTTCTGCACAGTTAAAGTTCACATCTAAATTCGATATTAACCTGAACTGTTTAAATAAACCTATCGCTAAGTAGTAAACCAAAATTTTGTTTGTCCAATAAAATATGAACATTTTTTTACCGATTAAAAGACCCGTGGTCTAAAACAAAATACCTAACTAAAAACTTATAAAATGCTCGGCATATTGTACAGCAGAGGATCACTCCTGCAAACTAAAACAATTTCGAATACATACACGTTCCCCATTTATGGTATACAGTTTAGAACTTTAAAAAAAGTTGATCATGACTAATGGTATTTCTGCGTTTTAACTAAAGTGTTTTATAGGGATGTTACCTTACTTAAAATGCTCAAATTTGCTTGATGAGATTTGCCCATTATTACCATGATTACATTTCGATATGTGACCAATTAAAACTCATTCACAACGCTTTTAAGAATATACATCATTGATGGTAGTCAGTAATTTAGCTCAATATGAAGTATTTTAATGCTTAGAAACTCTGTTTATGAAAAACCGGTTTGCTTACAACTGCTTGGAAGCAATTATTCGTTTCGAGTATGATTTTTTAATTCTTTGCCACTAATCAAATTTGTTATTACTGTAATATCCTTATCCTTTCGAATAAAGTTACTTAACATTTACAAGAAATTAATCCAATCTATTTTTAACAAGTTATTTGAAAAATTATTTTATGTTACACGAAGCAGGATAATATCCCTAGTGTTTATATGGGGGATAAGATCTTCTAATTATGCAGTACAGTTTTAATTAGGGCAGCCTCCGGTTCTGGATCGGGCAACCACTAATGTAATTAATAAGTGCATTACGATATTAGGAAAACTAAACGAAGAATTTCCAGCTGCGCATCCAAAGAAACTGACAAGTCAATAAGAATACACATACCGCACGTCCGTGCATACATATTCAGTTTCATGAATATCATGTTACCAAAGATTCTCTGTTACACATTTCTGCGTGCCTTTGTTTTTTTTGCTTTGTATGCTAATATTGTATTCAGATAATCATTAAGAAACAATGGCTCAATGTATAGACCTTTGTTTTCTGAATATATAAAATGAATCCTTTTGGCTAGACTTGCCTCCTGCCTTGCTGTTAACTTCGTGCAAAGAATTCAAAGGTTGGAAGTTAGCAGGACTAACTTAACCTCCAATAAAATAACCCTAGATCTAAGTGCATATTATCGTTTATTTTTATATTATCGGCAAACATCTACCAAATTTTTCAAGAAAAGCCTGCAATAATCCCAACCTTGAAGGTGTGATGAGCAGACAACTCTCACCACAATCACATTATAGGCACGTTAGAAACGAATCTACTGATTCATTTGAAACTTCTACATTTCCCGTAGATAGCGAGGACAGTGACAACGGAAGAGGTAGTAATAATAGGTCATCGTTTAAATCAGTAACCGCCCTAAAGACCGATTATAAAATAAATCATAAGCGAAATAGGGTTAACAGTGTTGTTCCTGAGTATTATTACACTGACGATAACGGTAATCCAATTAGCCAAAAATCATTCCTTGAAATGAACAATTCGCCAAAACGATCATGGTTTCCTAAATTTCAATTTTGGAAAAAGAAAGAAAACAAACCGATCCCACCTCCCGCCACAACAAAAAATAATACAAAAAAGAGAAGAGGATGTTGTACAACAATTTTGTTGATTATATTTATTTTGTTGTTTTTAGGAATGTTAGGAAATCTTTTAGCATTAGATATTTTACTTTCCAGATTACAGCAAGTTATGAATATTATACAAAATCCTTCAGCAACAAATAATACAACACCATCACAATTAGACCTGAGAATCGAAACGATCGTATGTTTGACTTTGTTTAGTGCGACGGGGAGTACGCAACCCAAACAATATCCATGCGATTTTTGTTCGAGAGACCCGAATGCGTTTTATAACGTTACAACATTTTGTGCGCTGAAAGGAATCTGGGCCAATACAGTGAATAAAACAGCTCTGGAGACCGATCTGAAGTGGATGGGAGATAACAATTTCTGTCAATGGGTTGGAGTAAAATGTGATTCTTCTGATAATATTATTTCATTGTATCCTTTTTTTTATGATAGAATTTACATTTTTTCATATATATTCAATTAATCATCTTTAACACTTAATAATTATCCGGAAAATAGAGAGCTTCAAGCACCAAACATTCCAAATACATTATCGAATGATTTAGGAAAACTTACAACGCTCCAGAACCTGTAAATATCCTACGCAGGGTTGGCAATGGAATGATTCCAATGGATATTAGCTTTTAGAGCTCTATTCACGTCCATTGAGCTTCATTGACACCATTGCCAACTCTGCCTACGCACCATATTTATTATGTTTTTTACATAATGGTAAAAATTAACACCAATATTTACTGTAATAGAACCATTGCTGGAAGCACAACTTTACCAAATGGAGCGATTCCTACAAGTTTATTCCAATTGCCAAATCTAAACTCGTTGAAAATTTCATCAACATCTCTTTCAGGGTCTATACCTGACACATTCAATAAAATGCCTGCTTTAAAAACATTGTAAGCGAAATTTATATTTTGCGAATATGTGAATTCATTCGCGTTAATTTTATGATTAAGTTGTGAATTATGTTAACATTAATTTTATGATTATGTCGTTATAGATCATTACAAAATAATCCACAACTCGGTAAAACTATACCACCATCCATTGGATCACTTTCTCTTAATAGCATAGCAATTAATGGACAGGGAATCTCAGGATCTTTTCCAGATTTTATTGGAAATAGTAACACGCTGCAAAAATCTCTACAATTTTTGTATGTTTTTTTTTTCAATCAATGTTTAGATACGGAAGTTTGCTATAATTAATACCATAAATTTATTTAGAGATTTGAGTTCTAACGCGTTAACCGGACCAATACCGACTTCTTTAACGCAGCTCTCTGTCTTAAAAGCATTGTAGGTTACGTTATTAATATTTTATACATTTGATTATAACTGACAGTAACATTATCTTTCAATACAGAATATTGGGAATAAATCAATTATCGGGATCCATTCCTACAACGATTAGCTCTGCCAAATTTCAAAAAACCATAGTTCAATTGGACTTTGGTAATAATTCGTTAACGGGAACCATTCCTGATTCACTATCGCAACTAACAAATTTAGAATTTTTGTATTTGGGTAGGAATCAGCTTAGTGGGCAGATTCCTGCATCATTGGCATCATTAACGAATTTGAAAGAATTGTTACTAAATAACAACAAACTGAGTGGAAGTATTCCTGATGCTCTTGGAGGTCTTTCTTTAAAAACATTGTAAGTTGTTTTTTAATTAAGTTATAATTGAAGTTATAAATTAAAATGTTTTAAAAAAAATAAATTATATTTTTCATTAGATTACTTACGGGAAATACGTTAACGGGAACGGTTCCTAACAGCATATGCCAAAAAGCATTCACAACATGCGATTTGACCAGCAATAATTTCACGGCATCCACAACAAAATGTGTTACTTGCATTTTTTAGTATCTCACTTTAATACAGTAGAAATTAAGTTAATTTGTTTTAAGCATTTTTTTTTATAATTTAAATTCATTTGACCTGTATATACATGCAATAGCTGTAATTTGGTTTCTCAAGTGTTCTCAAAAGAAAACAATTTATATTTAATAATAATAATACTAAAAATTATAATATAGATAAGAGTATTATTGTTACGTATGAATATTTAAGTGCACAAAATCATTTTTATATCTGAAACTCTTAAGTTTATTAGAATTATTTAGAACACGAAAATTTTAATAATACGTATAAAAATATATTATGAAAAATCCTTCGAATTTTCAAATTTTTAATTTTCAGTCGATCAATTAGCTTTACTGGTTAGTTTCTGCTTTCTGCATCAGCAGTGGCATAAAAAAATTTAAGTGAAATCATTATTTTTATATAGTAAATACCACGTTGTTTATTTCTTGAATATATCAAGGGAATGCATGTACGTACCAATCATATCATTTTGTACATAATCTTTATGCGCAAAACTTTTAGGCTATCGATTTAGACATACAGTAAACAAACGAATAATTTGTTCGAGGCTCTCTTATCGGCCCGTTTCGTATAATAATGTTGTGTAACCCGGAATTAATGTTCTCATGTGATATTATATCAAAATGATGTTGATATTGATAAATACCATTATTCGTTATTAATATTAATTTTAACCCATTTCACAATGAGTTTACTTTGGATAGATCTTACGGCCCCGGGTACACCATATAAAGAATTCGTTCTTACTTTTTCTTGGGCTGTTTATATTTTTGAGCAATATTTGAGGTACCTTTTTTTTCAAAGGATTGTGACTACTTTTTTTTTGGATCCATTTTCAAATTTCCAAATTTCTCTTTTTTTTAGTATTCGACAATATTTTAAGCTTCAGGAACCAAATCCACCAAAATCATTACAAGATATTGAAGATGTTCGCAAAGATTTTAAAAAAACCCAAGCTTATGGTATAGATAAAGCCAAGTTTGGTTTTGTATCGGCTTTGTTTGGCCAGGTACAAAGTACAATTATAATTGTGTGGGATATTCTTCCTTGGCTTTGGGATCTTTCTGGAAGGTGGTTGGAACATGCTGGTTATGGGACGGATTATGAGGTTTTTAATCTTTTTGTTTAATCTTCCTGTTTTTTAAGTGTAATATTTTTTTTATCTCGTTCTGGGTTTTCATAATTTTTTTTTTTTTTAATCTCTTCTAGATAATACACTCCTTGATTTTTACTGTCAATATGACTCTCATGTCATACTTTTTGTCTCTTCCTTTGAGCCTATATTACACTTTTGTAATAGAGGAACGTCATGGTTTCAATAAAATGACTTTGGGCTTATTTTTCATGGATATGCTAAAAGGATTTTTAATCGCTGGGGTCATTGGACTTCCGATCCTGGCTTTAGTCTTACAGATTATTAGATTGTCTGGCGATAACTTTTATTTTTATGTCTGGATTTTCATGTAAGTTTCTTTCATATCTCCTGTTAATGGCTTAATGGCTTACAAAGCTGATTTATATATTTCAATAGGATAATTTTTAATTTAGTGTTGCTTACTATTTATCCTACGCTCATTCAACCCCTTTTTAACAAAGTTGAACCTCTTGAAGAAGGTGAACTTCGTAAGCGAATCGAAGAATTGGCTTCCCGTATTGGATTTCCACTTAAAAAATTATATAAGATTGATGGCAGCAAGAGATCCAGTCATTCTAATGCCTATTTTTACGGTTTTTTTAAAAATAAACGAATTGTACTTTATGATACTTTAATCGAGCAGGCTGATACTGCTGAAATATTGGCGATTGTTGGTAAGAATGGTTTTCTCTTGAAAGTAATTATTTATTTTACTAGCATAATTAACGCTTGCAATTTTAGGCCATGAATTGGGCCATTGGTACCTTAATCATACTGTTAGGGTGCTTGTACTCTCACAAATCCACAACCTTTTTCTCTTTTACGTATTTTCTCAATTTATACACAATTCTGAGCTATATATCTCATTCGGGTTTGATTCTCGTCCAATTTTGATTGGGTTTATATTATTCCAATTCATCTATTCCCCTATCGAAAATTTATTTACATTCTTGATGAACATCAAGAGCCGACAACATGAATTCGAAGCCGGTAAGTTTGTTAGTTTGGCTTTTTTGATTCACATTTTTGATTTACATTCATTCATACTCTTTTTTTTCGTTAGATGCTTACTCAAAGAAATTAGGCTACGGAGCGCAACTTCGCTCCGGTCTCATAAAAATTCAACTTAAAAATTTGAGCAATCTAAATAATGATAAATGGTATTCTGCGTACCATTTTTCACATCCACCTCTTCCAGAGAGATTAAGTGCTTTGGAAAAAATTGATTAATCTAGATTGCAAAAAAAGTTTAAATAGTTTTAGGATTTAGTAGAATTACAGTTAAAACAATTTATTGTATACAATATATATATATATAGTGTAATCCTTTTTTGATTTTAAAGAAATTATCTTAAAAAATGCTGTATTTTATTTCTTTCTTTCTATAGAACGCCTTTTGTACTTGGGACTTCATTTGATCCTGTTCGCTCAATTGCTTGCTTCATGGCTACTGCAAGAGCTTTGAAAGCCGATTCAGCTCTTTGAAAATTAATTAATTGATTAGTCAAAGAAGTCATTTAATCATAGTACGACATAAAAAAATAATCTGCATTTTGTCTTGTCTCTATACCTATGGTGATCATTCTTTCCTTTAATTACGTCTACATGCAATGTAATTCCGGCGGAGGTGGCAAAAGAAGAGAGTACATGTGGTAACATTTCGGTGGAAAGTTCTCCAATCTTTTCTCGTTTTAGATCTAAGTTAATATCGGCATACGGCCTTCCTGAAATATCGATAACAGCGCGTGATAATGCCTTTATAGCAACAAAAATTGACATTAAAGCATAATGAGAGAAAGAAATAATTAAAATCAATTCTCATATTGTGGGTTTTGATTTATTATATTTATTATATGATAAAGTTTATCACCTCATCCAATGGTGCATACGCATATCCAAACCTTTTTATGCCTCTAGGCTCTCCTAATGCCTGCTTGAATGCAAGTCCTAAAGCAATTGCAGTATCTTCTGCTGAATGATGGTCATCAATATGCAAGTCCCCTTTACATTTTAGAGTAAGTGACCAGCCAGAATGTTTCGCAAGGGCATGATACATCTACTCCCATGTAAAAAAAAAAAAAAAAAGAAATTATACATCGAATATAAATAAACACATAAATTGTATTATTTAATATTTATACATGATTCAAGAATCCAATGCCAGTATCAATATCAATTGATTGACTTTCAATAGAATCTAGGTGTAAGTAAACATTAATGTCTGTTTCATTTGTTTTTCGAGTTATTGTTGAAGTGCGTGCAGTAGACATTGTGTTGAATCCTTAAAAAAAAAAAGGTTTGAAATGAATTTATTATCCATAAATGGTTTAAATTATCAAGAAACGTGATACGGATAGCGAAAAACGAGGACATAACATTACACATTTGTCGCAGAATTAGGGAAATTCCATCGGAATCAATGAATCGACCAGGGCGGGCGGCCTTCAAATTTGCGGGTCATGTGAGTAGCGCCATTGCCGCAGTTGCACATGGGGTCAAAATTTTTTTAGTATACACTTAAATTTGCACGTTGAGTCTCTGTTCACGACTTCTTTGTTCATTATATTAAACAACTTTTCTAACCTCTTAAAGACAATTTTACGTCAAAAAGACAAATTTTCTATCTCACGATTAATAGCTGAAAATAACAATTGAAATAAAATTAAAACTTGAACCACATTCCTCTCGCGCAAAACAAAATTAGCTTCTCTCTAGGCCTTCAGTGATAAATTGATATTTATGATCTTTATATTATTTATAATTGTTCGCGGGCTTCATAATTCATGGGCAGACATTCGTATGATTGGTTAATTTTTGTAGATCTACCCGTGATTTCCCGTGATCATTAACCAATC